CAGTGCCTGCAGAAGCCAGAAGGTGTTGGGTTTCCTGGAACTGGAGTTACAAGAGGCTGTGAACTTCCCATTGTGGATGCTGGGAATTGAACTCGTGTCCTCTGTAAAAGCAGAAAGTGCTCTTAACCCCCGAGCCATTTCTCTAGCTTCCATTTTATATTTTTTTCAGACAGGGTCTCACTATGTAGACTAGGCTGTCCTTGAACTCAGAGGTCTGCCTACCTTTGCCACTGGAGTGCTGGAATTAAAGATGTGTGCTACCACATCTGGCCAAAAACTAAAATAAAAAAAAAGGTCTGGAGAGATGGCTTAGCAGTTGAGTGTGCCTACTCACTGCCCTGTCACCACGGGCATCTTACAGCTGTCTTTAATTCACCTCTAGGGGATCTGACACCCATTTCTGGCCTCCTCAGGCAACTGTGGGCACCCATACACATGTGATATTTGCACATACACATGAATAATAAAATAATTATAGTAAGGCTGGGGCATGTAGCTCAGTGGTGGAGTCCTTGCCTGGTGTGCCATGGCCCTGGCTTTGATCCTTTCAACTTCCCACCCAACCCCCAAATAAAGAAAATGTAAACTGAGAAAGTACAGCTTAGAAACATTTTCTGCCTACTTTGCAGATTGTAATAGTTTATTCTGGTGACCCTCTTTTCTGTTAGGATGTCATTTCTTGGTTCCCTGATAGACACAAGAACTATGTTAATGTGTTGCTGGTTATTTTTGCTCTTTTGGGGGGCCTGCTACCCAGCTCCCAAATAAATCACACAGGAAGGCTTATTCTTCATTATAAATGCCTGGCCTTAGCTTGGCTTGTTTCTAGCCAGCTTTTCTGAAATTATCCCATCAGTCTTTGCCCTTAGGGTTTTATCTTTCTCTATTCCTGTATACTTTTTCTTTCCCTCTTACTCTGTGTCTGTCTGTGTAGCTGGGTGGCTGGTCCCTGAAGTCCTCTCCTTCTTTCGTTCCTTGATCTTTCTTTTCCTCCTCCCAGGTTTCTCCTTCTATTTATTCTCTCTGCCTGTCAGAACTTATCCTTTTTCCTGCCTCACTATTGGTCATTCAGCTCTTCATTAGACCATCAGGTGTTTCAGACAGGCTAAGTAACACAGCTTTACAGAGTTAAACAAATGCAACATAAAAGAATTGTGGTATTGTGTTCCCTGAAATATTGTGCATGCTAATAAATTTCTCTGGGGTCAGAGACAGAACAGCCACAATATTAAACATAAAGGATAGGCAGTGG